ACTTCCAGAGGAGGTAGTGATGGCCACAGGCATGGATAGCTTTAAAAGGGGGATTAGAAAGATTCATGGAGGAGAGGTCTATCAGTGGCTACCGGCCATGGTGACTAAAGGGAACCTCCAGGTTCAGAGGCAGTCAATCTCTGAATCCCAGAGCCAGGAGGCAACCTCAAGCGAAGGCCTCGGCCTCTGTGCCCTGTTGTTTGTCCTCCAGAGGAACTGGCTGGCCACTGCGTGAGACAAGATGCTGGACTAGATGGACCACTGGTCTGATCCAGCAGGGCTCTTCTGATGTTTTTAGGAAGGGTTCGGCCTCTATGCCCTGTTGTTGGCCCTCCAGAGGACCTGGCTGGCCACTGTGTGAGACAGGATGCTGGACTAGATGGACCACTGGTCTGATCTAGCAGGGCTCTTCTGATGTTCTTAGGAAGGGTTCGGCCTCTATGCCCTGTTGTTACCCCTCCAGAGGAACTGGCTGGCCACTGCGTGAGACAGGATGCTGGACTAGATGGACCATCGGTCTGATCCAGCAGGGCTCTTCTGATGTTCTAATAAAGCCTCAGCCTCTGTGCCCTGTTGTTTGTCCTCCAGGGGACCTGGTTGGCCACTGTGTGAGACAGGATGCTGGACTAGATGGACCACCAGTCTGAGCTAGCAGGGCTCTTCTGATGCTTTTATGTTCTGACGAGTACAGCTATGCCCCTAAAAGCTCTTCTTCAGCGAAAGTGTTTTTGTGCATGCCATGGCAAGATGGAGAAGAAGAGAGATGTGGGGAACAGAGGGAGAGGCAGACACAGAGGGTGGTGATGCTAGAGGGGGGGTGATGTTGGGGAGAGGGTGGTGCGGGGAGGGAGGGAGAAGCAAAGCAAAGTTTGAGACCTGCATAGTGCTGCATGCCTGCGTAGGCTTGTTGGAGGGGGTCTGCCACAGTGGGACTTTGAGCTGGGGAGAGAAAAGAAGGGAAGAGGGAAGAGAAAAAGTAAGCCAGGAGAACAGGAAGAGAACACTGGTCAGAGCAGCTGGTTGTGAGGGGCTGGAAGCGGCAAAACCCCACTCGACTTTGTCCTTGGCCCCTTCTCCCCATCGCTGCTCAGAGCCCGGCTACGCATGGCGGCTGCTAATGAGAGCACCACCCGTCTGGCAGGAGCTCTGCCCATTGGGAAAGGTGGCCATAGCCCCAGGCAGAGTGGCCACAGGTTAGTGCCACAGGAACTGCTTTGCATGCAGGAGGTCCCTGGTTCAATCCCCCCTCCATCTCAAGATCTGGAACCCTGACTCACCGTAGAGCATCAGCTTAGCATGCAGAAGGCCCCAGGTTCAATCCCCAGCATCTCCAGTTAAAAGGACCAGGTTGTTGGGTGATGGAAAAGATGTTGACCTGAGGCCCTGGCTCAGCAGTAGAGCATCTACTTGGCATGCAGAAGGCCCCTGGTTCAATCCCCAGCATCTCCAGTTAAAAGGACCAGGTTGTGGGGTGATGGAAAAGATGTTGACCTGAGGCCCTGGCTCAGCAGTAGAGCATCTACTTGGCATGCAGAAGGCCCCTGGTTCAATCCCCAGCATCTCCAGTTAAAAGGACCAGGTTGTGGGGTGATGGAAAAGATGTTGACCTGAGGCCCTGGCTCAGCAGTAGAACATCTACTTGGCATGCAGAAGGTCCCTGGTTCAATCCCCAGCATCTCCAATTAAAATCACCAGGTAATAGGTGACATCAAAGACCTCTGTCTGAGAACCCACCTGATCATTTTAACTGGATACGCCGGGGATTGAACCTGGGACCGTCTGGAAGTAAAGCAGATGCTCTTCCACTGAACCATGACTCATCTCCTGCACATAGATATGCATACCTAAGGTCTGATTCCCCCAGAGCAGCTGCAGTGGTGGCTGACAAGGGTGCCAAAGGTGACTCAGTGGCTCCACTGGCAGAAATGAGCTAACCCTGTTGGTCTCTGGGTTGGGAAACTCCTGGAGATTTGGGGGTGGGGCCTTAAGAGGGCGGGGCCTCTGTGGAATGGGAGGGGCCTCTGTGGAATACAGTACCCTAGAGTCTACCCACCAGAGGTGCCATTTTCTCCAAGGGAGTTGATCTCTGAAGTCTGGAGATCGGTTGTAATTCCAAGACATCTTCAGGCCCCACTTGGAGGTTTGAAGTGTGGCAAGATGGAGCCCTAAGACTGAGTGTGAAATCAGCTCAGGGGCTGAAGTTCTGAGCTGCATCATTGCCAAAATTTCAGAAATGACACCACCACGGGTCATTCCGTAGAAAAAGAGGTGCAGGGGCTCATTAGCATAACTCATTAGCATAACTTATTTGCATATGCCACACCCCCTGACATCGGCGGGGCCTTAAGAGGGCGGGGCCTCTGTGGAATGGAAGGGGCCTCTGTGAAATACAGTACCATAGAGTCTACCCACCGAAGGTGCCATTTTCTCCAAGGGAGTTGATCTCTGGAGTCTGGAGATCGGTTGTAATTCCAAGACATCTTCAGGCCCCACTTGGAGGTTTGAAGTGTGGCAAGATCAAGCCCTAAGGCTGAGTGTGAAACCAGCTCAGGGGCTGAAGTTCTGAGCTGCATCGTTGCCAAAATTTCAGAAATGACACCACCAGGGGTCATTCCGTAGAAAAAGAGGTGCAGGGGCTCATTAGCATAACTCATTAGCATAACTTATTTGCATATGCCACACCCCCTGACATCCAGAAGGCAACACCCACCACTCAGGCTCCACTGGACTGTTTTGGATTGCTAGCTATGGGGGGGGGGAACACGTGCAAATCTGTCCTGGCAGAGGAGGGAGAGCTTGTACCTGAATAAAACTTGGTCTTAAAGGTGCCACTGGACTTTTTTGGACCGGGGGGGGGGATTCTGCAACTTACCTGGCTGCTTCTTGCTCTGACTGAGGGCTGCTGGGAGCAGGGGGTGGGGCTTGTTGCTTGTGCCCGCCCCCTGGGCTCTTTACTGCCGGAGCTCCACTCCTGTGCACTCCTGCAGGAAATGACCCCTGGACACCACCATAGTTACGCCCCTCTGGGCAGGTCGTCTTCCTGGGATCTCATGACCACATGAAGCTACCTTCCGCTGAGTCAGACTGCTGGTCCATCAAGGTCAGTGTTGTCTACTCATACTGGAAGCAGCTCTTCAGGGTCTCAGGCAGAGGTCTTTCCCATCCTCTACCACCTGGTCCTTTTAAACTGGAGAGGCCAGGGGCTGAACCTGGGACCTTCTACATGCCAAGCAGATTCTCTGCTGCTGAGCCAGGACCTCAGATCAACATCTTCCCCATCGCCCGACTACCTAGTCCTTTTTAACTGGAGACGCCAGGGACTGAACCTGGGACCTTCTACATGCCAAGCAGATTCTCTGCCACTAATCCAGGACCTCAGATCACCATCTTCCCCATCGCCCAACTACCTAGTCCTTTTTAACTGGAGACGCCAGGGACTGAACCTGGGACCTTCCGCATGCCGAGCAGATTCTCTGCCGCTGAGCCACAGCCCCACTCTGGAAAGACCTGAACACATGAAGCGGCCTGATACTGAGTCTCACAATTGGTCTACCAATATATGTGTTGTCTACTCCGACTGGCACTGGCTCTCCAGGGTCTTTTACATCCCCTACTGCTTGGTCCTTTTTAACGGGAGGTGCCTGGGACGTTCTGCATGCCAAGCAGATGCTCTATCATTCCGCCACAGCCTCACCCCTTAACAGGCACATACGGAGCGGCTATCTACTGAGTCAGTTCACCAGTCCATCAAGGTCAGGATTGTCTACTCCGATTGGCAGCAGCTCTCCAGGATCTCAAGCAGATGCTTTTCACATCGCTTGCAACCTCATCCTTTTAACTGGAGACGCCAGGGATTGAACCTGGGACCTTCCGCATGCCGAGCAGATTCTCTGCCGCTGAGCCACAGACCTAATCTGGAAAGACCTGAACACATGAAGCTGCCTTATACTATGTCTCACAATTGATCTACCAATATATGTGATGTCTACTCTGACTGGCACTGGCTCTCCAGGATCTCAAGCAGATGTTCTTCACATCGCTTGCAACCTCATCCTTTTAACTGGAGATGCCGGGGATCGAACCTGGGAGCTTCGGCACGCAAAGCGGATGCTCTGCCGCTGAGCCACCACTGCCCTGCCCCTCTTCTGTCTCACACGTCCTTCCGCTCTCCCAAAGACCTACCTGGGTAGGGGTGGATGCCATTGGTGTAGATCGTTTCTGATGCTGGCTGCCCATTGGTCTGCGGGGGGAGAGGACTGAATCCGTTCACCCCGATGGGTGTGGCTATGCTGGGGACAGGTGCTGTGCTGATCCCTGGAGGTGTGCTTGTACCTGAAAGAGAGGAGTGCGAATTACAACTCTGGGAGTCCCACTGGACTGCAGCTTGAGCACCAGGGGTTCGGGGGGAGGGATTGCAGACCCCTGCGCTGGGATCCAGAGGTTCGCTGCTTCTGTAGGTGGAGGCTCTCTTCAATCACCGTGGCTACCAGACTATAATGGACCTCTCCTCCACGAATCCCCCTAAGCCCTTTTTAAAGCTACCTTTGCGGGCAGCTCTAAATCTGTATCTCCGCAGGACAGCTCTGTAACTTTCCTGGAGATGAGCTGCGATTCCTGGGGGATCCCCAGGTCCCACCTGGAGGCTGGCATCCCTACCCTGGAAATTTGGGGGGTGGAGCCTGGGTAGGACAGGGACCTCAGTGGGGTAAAATGGCAGAAACTCCACCCTCCAGAGCTTCCACTTTCTCCAGGGGAACTGATCTCTGCAATCTGGAGAGGAGCTGGAATCCCTGGAGGATCTCCAGGTCCCACCTGGAGTCTGGCATCCCTAACTGGTGGGCTCATTTGCTGAGCCCTCAGTGCACCTTGGTGTTTAGTCATGCCAGCCACATGACCACGGAAATGTCTTTGGACAGCGCTGGCTCTTCGGCTTTGAAACAGAGATGAGCACCGCAACCCTAGAGTCGGACTCGACTGGCTTTTGAGCAAGGGAACCTTTACCTTTACAACTTTAGCCCCCCGAGCAAAAATGAATCCTGGCCTGAGGACAGAGGAAGAACTCCACTGCTGTCAGAGGTGCCCGGATGTACCTTTGCAGCTCCCCCCCCCGGAGCCGGCCGCAAGGGGGCCCCCCTACCTGATGAGGGTGTCATGGGAGCAGCGACCAGCCCGCTGACGTTGAAGGCCGCCATCTGCTGCATCTGAGCCGCCGCGATGGCCGCCATGGGGTTGAGGCAGGTCCCTTGTGCTGCGGCCATCAGAGCTGCTTGCTGCTGCATTATCTTAAGGAAAGAAAGGCAGGCGTGGGGGGAGAGAAGGGTGAGGCAGGGAGGGGGCGGGAGGGGGCAGAGGCAACAGGCAGGGGGGGGGGCACAGGAAGAGACGGGGAAGGCATGGGGGCGAGAAGGGAAGACAGAGGTGAGTTAGTCTCCCTCTAACTTTCTCTCCTTCCAAAATTCCATCGAGTATCTCCTGGGCAAGCATGTTGGGAACAAGCAGGATATACGCAAAGGCTCGCGCAATAGCTACTGTTCTGCCCGTTTAAAGCAAATGGGTGGCTATTATGATTTAGTTTTTAGAATTTTGTTTCCTTTATACCCTGCCAGAGTGCAGAGGCAGGTAATATCAAGCCACCTCTCGGAAAACACTCTCGCCTCCCTAGGGGTCGCCAGAAGTCACCATGACTTCCAGGCACGCAAGCTCATACACACACACACATGAAATACAAAATAAGCATTCTAGACTGTGTGGCTATATATATATTTCGTAAGGGTGTTACACGACTTCGACACACCACGTAAGTGCACGGTAGAAGTTCTGCATCCTCAATATTTGCAAAGGTTTAAACTTGGTGTTTAGTCATGCCAGCCACATGACCACGGAAACGTCTTCAGACAGCGCTGGCTCTTCGGCTTGGAAATGGAGATCAGCACCGCAACCCTAGAGTCGGATTCGACTGGCTTTCGAGCAAGGGAACCTTTACCTTTACCTTAAACTAATTAATACAATGCTAACTGTAAAAAAAAAGTCTCGAGAATATTTGGAGAAGCGGCCTATAAATGCTTCAAAAAAATAAAATCCTCGATCGTGAGCATTTGTACCACACTTGTGAATGAAGCCGGCTTCACGTGCAAACAATTTCCACAAACTGTACAACACTCCTGTAAGGTTGGGCCAGCATTCTTGTCCCCAGACTACAGAGACAGGATTGAAACGAAGACAGAGTTGACTAGCCATTCTAGGATCAACCTAATTGATGGGGGACCTGAAAAATACACCTTGCCAGTGTTCACTCTAAGCTGAGTTAGTGTGAGCTAGGTCACAGTTTTTTAGCCTCTGGCTCACACATTTTTGTCTTAGCTCGGGGAGGATGGCTCCAGAGCCAACTAATTTATGCAGTAGCCAAATTGCTCGCTCACAGCTTTAATGCCAGCAGCTCACAAAGCAGAATAATTGTCCACGAGACTCCACAGCTTAGAGGGAACATTGCACCTTGCTGCAGTTTTTTAAACTTTAACCCTGCGGGGCCATGATTCAGACAGAGATTGTAACACGCAGGGGGAGTAGGTTTAACCCTTTGTGTTCCTTTTGTGATCTGAATTACCCTACGGGGGCCGTCATCTGCTGCAAAGCAGAAAATGAACAGGTATCCTAGAATCATAGAGTTGGAAGGGACCACAGAGGTCATCCAGTCCAACCCCCTGCTCAGTTTAGGATCAGCCCAAAGCATCCCTGATGAAGGTTGGTCCAGCTGCGTCTGCATATTTGCCCCCATGAGGCAAATAACAGGGGTGAATCAGAACAGGAAAACAACACGAAAGGCACAGAAAAATGTCAAACTGAATGTTAAAAGATGACCAAATGTGAAGAATAGAAAATCGGTTGAGAGAGTGTCCTCTTGTATTCATTCACATTATGATTCAATATTTCTTGCAGTGAAGAAGAAGAGGAGAGATTGGATTTATACCCCGCCCTTCACTTGGAGTCTCAGAACGGCTTACAAACTCCTTTCCCTTCCGCTCCCCACAACAGACACCCTGTGAGGTGGGTGGGGCTGAGAGAACTCTGACACAAACTGCTCTTTTTCAAGGACAGCTGTGCCAGAGCTTGTGACTGATCCAAGGTCACATCAGCAGCTGCGAGTGGAGGAGTGGGGAATCAAACCCGGTTCTCCCAGATTAGAGTCCGCGCACTTAACCACTACACCAAACAGGGACATAGATTAACTGTGATGTCCAAAGCAAAGTTACACCCTTCTGGGTCCACTGAAGCCCACGGGCTCAGAAGGGTATAATTCCGCTTACTGTCTTCCTGCGGGAGTCATTATCTTTTGTCATGAACGGGATTTGTTACAATGGTATGGGTTTTTTAAAAAATCGTATTAACGCTCAGAAATATGAAAGAAGGGTTCCGTGGGATGATCAGTTTGGTATAAAATGCTCTGAATTTGTTGTGCAGTTCCACTTAGTAACGTTAATGACAGGACATTTCGGAGGTCATTAATTTACAGGGTCACCAAAAGTCTGGCGCAACTTGATGACACTTGACACACACACACAAAGAAACACAAACCGCCCACACAGCTCATGTCCCCCACAACCCATTCATGCCAGGCAGGTCTGCTTTCCTTTCCGGAATACTGTGAAAACCTGAGCCAAAATGGCACACCCCCCCAATCCTGTCAGGTCAAGGAAGCTCACCACCCTCCCATCATCCAAGATGGGCTCTCTCCAGCCACCCGCCAAGAAGAAGAAGAAGAAGAAGAAGAAGAAGAAGA